TGTCCATCGGATTGTCAGACAGAAAAGCACAATTCGTCACTCTATAGAGTCCAGTGGTGGCTTGCTTTACAATACTGCATCCGAAGCTTATTATTGCACTAGGTGATGTAAGGCTTGGATGCAGCTGCTCAAGCATGGAAACCCATTCCATGAAGCTCTCTGCGCACTGTTAATGTGCTAATCCAAAGGCCACACAAATTTTGGAGGTCTTTAGCTACTGACTCTGCAGACAGTTGGCGACTTCTGCGCACAGTGCACTTCAGCATGAGCTGACCCCACGCTGCCATTTTAAGTGGCCTATCATTCCGTGGCTGAGTCGCTGTTGTTCCTAGTTAGTTCCACTTTGTTATAATACCACTAACAGTTGACCGTGGAATATTTAGTAGCAAGGACATTTCACGGATAGACTTATTGCACAGGTGGCAACCTATCACGGTACCATGCTTGAATTCACTGAGATCCTGAGAGTGACCCATTCTTTCACAAATATTTGTAGAATATTTGTATTTGTAGTCTGCATGCCTAAGTGCTTGATTTTATACACCTGTGGCCATGGAGCGGATTGGAATATCTGAAGCCAATGATTTGGAGGGGTGTCCCAATACTTTTGGCAATCTAGTGTATATCTGGGTACCAAGACCCAGAGCTTGACAAGATACTGTATTACTTTAATACAAAACTTAATATATAAATTGAATAGGAAAATAGCGAGGTCTGTGTTTTCTTGATTTGCAAAGAGGTCCACCAGAGGACATCCCCACTTTTTTGTAATCATAGAATACACCTCTGGATTCAAGGTCAGCTCTGCCTCCTACATCTGGTGTCAGCCACCAAATTCAAAGTCCCCTTTGGGTGGACTAGAGATAAGGATGCCAAATTGCTTTCTGCTCAAAGAATCTCTTCTGTCAAAAACTGAAGGGCTCTTCTTTTTGTATCCCCTTACCTGTTTATATAGGCCACAGCTGTGGCATTGTCTAAAGACTTGGTACCTCTGAAGATCCAGAGAGAAAAAAAAAAAAAAAAAACACATAGCTTTCAACTGTCTCCAATTTGAGTCATTTGATGCTTGGGACTTTGCCCAAGAACCTTACACTATTTTCTCTTTCAAGTGAGCTCCCAAAGCACCAGGAGCTAGCATCCGTGGTCAGTCTCCTTTTGACTGGAAAGAACCATAATGAGTCCACTGTAAGATTTCTTTGGTTCCTCCACGACAGCGATCTGTTTATTTTGGTGGGGATCTTCACCACTGTGTGTAGCGAGTCTATTTGCCAATTCCAAATCCACAGCATAAAACGCTGAAGTATTTAAATGCAGCCTTGACCTCTGAATTGGCAGAATGGCAGAGGTTAGAATGTTCAAAACCTACATCAGATTCCTGACAGACATGGCCCAAGTGGACTGAAGCATATCCAGGGTCGCCTGCAAATTTTCTCTCATGTTCATTGGATGAAAAATGTTTTGTTCCACAGAATTGATCAAGTAGCCTACAAAAAGAACCGGGTCAGGTATTAAGTTAGACTTTTGGATATTCAAGATCCAGCCCAGACTTTCCAAATGGCTGCAAGCTAGAGTCAAATTTTCCTACAACTTCTCTGAAGCTGCGAAGAAAAGATCATTGAGAGAAGGAGTCACTGCTACGCCTTTCAGGAACAGGGGTGCTAAGGCGTTTTGACATTATATTCGTGAACACTTGCAGAGTGGATGAAAGACCAAACGGTAGAGCTCTGAACTGTTGATGGAATACCTGAGCCTCTGATCTTAACGCTAGTCTCAGGAACTTCTGAGATCGAAGGCAAATGGGGATGTGGAGGTAGGTAACCTTTAGGTCGATTGATGCCATGTAGCAATCTTGCAGAAGGAGATTTCTGATCAAAAATAGAATCCATCTGGATTGGTTTGTATTGGGCCATTTTGTTCAATGGTTTCAAACTGACAAATTAAGTGGAACTTTCCCAAAGGTTTACCCACAAGGAAGTAGAATCCCTGCTGTGCCTTTTGTGGCAGCACCAGAATAACCACTCTCTGAAGTATCAGTCCCTGGATTAGACACTTCATTGCCAGAGACTTGACCAGACTTTAAGAATATCTATTAGCAAGTATCTTTTCGGAGGAGATTCTGCAAATTCTATGTCGTATCCTCGGGAGATGGTATCTAAAATGTACTGATCTGAGATAATGTTCTCCCATTGTGGAAGAAACCCCTGAAGTCTTCCTCCCACTGGGAGGGTATAGTCATTGAGACTTCTAGAACTGAGCAGGACGACGAAAAAGGACTTCTTTTGTTCCTGGACTTTTGAGAGGTCAAAAAAAAAACATCTGGATGGCTGCACTTTATTCTTTCACCAGAAAAGACTGAAATGTGGCAGAGAGATCATTCTACACTGAGGAAATTAGGTCATTACAAACAGCTGAATATTCCTCCTTAACCAAGAGAGCAATACAGCGTTTGCATAATGGATTTTTCAATTATCTCCAAGTTTGACTCTGCAGGAGGGGTACCTCCTCTTCACAGAGGCCTGTTCTTTATTACAGCTCTTAGCCTCGGCCTAAACTGAGACTCAATCACAAGCAACATGGTCCCCAAATTGCCCCAGACAAAGGTGCACTGAAAAAGATATGACTAGTTGAAGTGCCCAGACGCCCAGACAGGCCCCAGCCTCCAGGGGGGAAACTATACAAGAAGCACTGCTAAATCTCTACCTGGGCCTTGCGGATGTCAGTGCCTGTCACCCAGTGGCCAAGGTTCTGTCCTCTTCCATTCTGCAGAGCCTGCAGCTAAAACCATGGCTTAGCCCTTTCGTGCCAGAGCAGTTTTTGCAATTTTTTGCACATGTTTAAAACATCATATTAGGCCTGAAGACTACACAAAACCCCCAAACATTATATTTTTTCTGAAAGCAGACACCCTAGAGAATAAAATAGTGGTAGTTTCAATTTTTTATGTCACATGATATTACCGCAAAGGACTAAGAAATGCAAAATTTCAGGAACAAACACACTAAAGTGAATTTTAGGGCAAAAAAAAAAAAAGCAATAAATTACCCACATTTTTGGTAAAATATAAAAGACAGGGTTGCACCAAGTAAATAGATACCCTACATGTCAAACCTTAAATTTGTGTGCGCCCGTGAAATGGAGACAAATTTCAGTACCTTATATTTTCTATAGGCGAATCTTCAAAAGCCCCTATAGGTCATCAGTTTAGTGTTATGGAGGATGTCTTGTGCTACAATTATTGCTCTCACTCCGGCATGTGGGGTGATACATAATGTGTATTGCAATCAACTTTTTCATGCGTAGCCGCCCCGACGCACGTTTATGTACGTACATTTTTTTTTTGGGGGGGGGATGTTATGTGCTTGGGCGTAAATTTTTTTTTGCAATTAGAAAAAAAAATTTTTCTTCATCATAGGGGACACAAAGTCCCCTATGTGATGATTTTTAGGTGACAAGTTCTCCTTAATCGGATTTTGTGTAAAATTTCCTGCTGTCAGGTCTGTACAACGTATAGACTTGGCAGCAAAAGGATTAAAATGCTGGTTCCAGAGCTCTGAGACATTGCTGCACCAAAACTGGAAATAGGCACCAGCTGAGTCCTTCCTCCAAAACCCTGCATCACTGAGGCTGGAATTGACACTGCATGCCTGACCCAGAAGTCCCTTTCCTTCTGGAAATAATACAACCACTGTCAAATGTGGCTGCGGGCACTCCTCCAGCCACCAGAAACATGGTGCTGATGGCCCAGCAAGCAGGACCAGCATCCCCATGCTCAAGGGCTAAGTCGGTACAGTCTCTCCCTGAGCATGGAAAGGGGAGAAGGAGCCGGAGCATCCTCTATCATACCAAGGAAATGCTGGGGGGGGGGGGCCCCCAATGCTATAAAAGGAAAAAAGATAAGGGGAGACAGTAACCCCTCCAGGACAGCCCTGAAAGATCCTAACATCCCCTCAGTTCCATTGTGTTTCTGCCAAGACGGAGTAAACACAACAATTGACGATCTGTAGGGAGTAGCCTTCTTTTAAAGTTAAAAGTTTGACGTGTTTTCTTTTTTCTTGTGGAAGGAGCTACGTTCTCTCTGATTCTGTCCTGAAAGATATTTTTGGAAAAAGAAGTTGTACTTACCTGCTCTGTGCAATGGTATTGCACAGAGTGGCCCCTTATTTCCTGTACAGGAGATGTATTAGGGTAAAAAAAGTTTGAGTTGATATCCACTTTAAGTGATTTTTTTTTTTTTTCTGAACTCAGAAAGCTAAAAGGTGCTTGTGCACATTGTAATAGTCCACCTACCTCTCTCCTTTACTGTAAAACAAGACCGATGGATCCTCTAATATGGCAGGGCCTTTTGCAATACTGCACTGTAATCAGTCAGATGAGATGCGTTTGGCTCCCAGCACCTTCACTGCCACCAAGGCGGTGTTCTACTCTAGTCACTGCAAATATACATTGCATGGTCCTGCAGATACATGCAGCTGTCTTTTACAGCTGTTAAAATAGGGAGCCTAGACCTTTACCTTGGTGCAGGACGGCAAGACAACCATGACATGTAGACCTTTGGTTAATAACAGGGTTTAAAGATTGAATTTGCATTTTAAATTTTAAGGCTTGTGTTACCAGCCACTTAAGCGTCTGTCAGAGCCCAGCTGGAGCAGCAACTCACCTGCACTTTTTGTTTATCAAATTCATTGAACCCCATTAACAATCCCTCTACTGTTTAAACCTACCCTAAGCTGTTTTAATGAGCACAGTCCATCATATTCCTGAATATCTGTGAACACGTTAACTTGCTAGATGCTTACTTAGCAGAAGCGAAGAGAGGATTGGGGGCAGAGTGGATTTCAAAACAAAAATGTAGCTTCATTAAATTTATTAGAAATGAGAAGTGATATGATTTTGCATAAGCAGAAAAAGGAACCTGCAGCAGAGTTCTAAAGCACACTTTGCTCCTCTTATTTTAAAGTAAACCACTTTCACAAAAGATAAAATACTGAATTACTAAATACCTGCAGTTAACAGCTCTTTCACCTCCTGCAAATTCAGAGTTTTTTCCCCACCGCTCAGGCACCTCCAGAACCATCAAACCTTTGGTTCCGATGAGAGCAATATGTCGCCTTGCAGGACTTAACAAGACTTGACTGACCTCGAAAAGCGGGTTGTGAATACACAGTAATCTCTGATAAATTAAAAAAACAAAGTGGTTAATTATAACAATTACTTGCCTGAAAGACAAAACAGAAACACAAGTAACAAATGGAAAAGTAAAACAAACAAGGCTTGTAAAAGCTTAAAAGCTACTATATTGTTTGAGAATTTGCGATGGGGGAAAAAAAAAAAAAAAAAAAAAAACTATTTATCTTTCATGAACATACGCTAAACCAAGGCTCAACAAATCCCAGGCACCAGGACATGGTTTCTGGTTGCCGTGGTGACCTGGGCCCCCTCCAGTCCACACTTCCCCACCTCACATCCTCTTTCTTGCCCCCACAGAGTGGATCCCTGCCCAGTGTCACGGGACCACCAGAGTCCCCATGGTGCTCTTCCTGGCAAACAATCCTCCCAAACACCCTCCACAGCCCCATGAAAGCCAGCCCCCTGTTGGATACCGCAGTCACTGGCCGTCCTGTGTTCCTGGCGCCAGCATCTTCAGTGTGGGCACCCTGCTGTGACAGCTTGCAGCGTGACAGCCTGGCGCCCACTGAGAATGAGCGAGTAGCGCTGTGCTTTCTGAATAGTCCCTTAGTTTTCTGTCACGTGTCCCAGAAGACTACAGGGAGGAAGGTGGGAGGACAACTTCTGCTTCCGTTCGCCTAGGTGATTGCAACGAAAGTAGGGGCAGGTACCTGTCAATCTTGGGTAGCTGTCCCACTCTCTGCTCCCCAAAGGTGCCAATCCTTAATGGGAAGCAGGGGACCAGTTCTTAGAGCGAAACTTCCCTTTTTGGGTAGAGCTCCACTTAAAGGTAAAAAAAAAAAAAAAAAGTGTGCAGCTAACTTCCCCCCCCCAACCTATACTTATCTGAGCCCGATCTCGAGAGATGTGCATGACAGCAGAGGCACTCTCCATCCTCACTGGCCATGGAGGCAGCAGTGGGAGCCATTGGCTCCTGTTGCTGTCAATCATAGCCTGTGAGAGGAGAGGGGGAGTGGGGGCTGGGTGTTACCAAGCTGTGTATGTCAATGGAAACACACACACACTGTGGCTTAGCATGAATACCCCCATAGCAAGCGGCTAGTAAGAGCCAGGAGCACCAGCCAGCGGGGGACCCGAGAAGAGGATTGGAGCTGCTCTGTGCAAAACCATTACAGAGCAGGTGTGATGAATGTGCGCTATATTAGACATTGTTCAGCTACCAGAAGAAGAGATTCCCCCCACTTTGAAAACATTTTCTTTCACTTCTTTTGGGTCTACATAGAGGGAGTGAATGAACATCTCCCAATGGAAAACATGATGGGGTTCTAACCTTTTCCTATGTTATTAAAAAATCAGTATGCTCCAAATTACTAAAAAAAACGATATTTGTGTAGGTCTGTACAGGAGACCACAGGGGTTAAAAGCTGCAGAGAAAAGAGGGACAGGGGCTACAAGGAGAAACAAACAGCCACACATTGCCCTACCTGGATATGAACCTGGAGACAGGCACTGCTAGAACCAGAACTCCGGTCTCTGAGGTACATACCAGTGAGCAGAGGCTCACACAGGATAGATAGGCTCTCACCTGCTCATTCTCTGGAGGACTGTCTGCGCCCAAGCTGCCCAGCCTCACGATGTGGAAACATTTGTGTTCTGCGTCCCACACGAGCAGGTCCCCGTCCAGACTACACATCAGGTTCCTCAGTTGGGCCGCACTTTGGCGGCTCGCCTTCCCGTCTTTGTGTCGGAGCTCAGAGAACACTCGGTGCTCACTCAGAATGCTCTGCCACTGCTCCCCAGCCTTTCCCAGTGCCGCCATGTTCTTCCAGACTGGGGTATCCCCGCCAACTCGTATGACGTCCATGAGCCGCGACCAGTCTACACACAGCGGAGAGGGGCGGGAGGAGTTCTGTAGAAGTGTCTGCTCATTGCATGCAGCAGTGTTCAGTGACATCACCAATGGCAGCGCTCCTAGGCTCAGTGTCACACAACTTCCCTCACTGTAAAGGGGATCATGTCAGTTCTTGTTCTGGTTCTGACACGCTAGATAAGTGCACAGTGAAAAGACTGCAAACCCAGCAGCGCCATGCTAAAGACATCTGAATCAATCTCAGCATTAGTTGCCGTAAAGCAGGTGGATCCAACTATGGCCCTCCTGGTGTTGAGGAACTGCAAGTCCCATGAGGCCTTGCAAGACTCTGACAGCCACAGGCAAGACTCCCAGAGACAGAGGCATGGTGGAACTTGTAGTACTTCAACAGCTGGAGGGCCATAGTTTGGAGACCCTTGCCTTAAAGTATAATTAACCACTTGCCCTCCAGAGGATTTCCCCCCATTCATGACCAGGCCCTTGTTTCTCGATACGGCGCTGTGTTACTTTAACTGACAATTGCGTGGTCATGCAACGCTGCACCCAAATGATATTTATGTCCTTTTTCCCCCCATAAATAGAGCTTTTTCTTTTGGTCGTATTTGATCACCTCTGCAGTTTTTATTTTTTAACGCTTTAAACAAAAAAAAACCGACAGTTTTGAAAAAACTATTTTTTTACTTTTTGCTATAAAAAATATCCAATAAAAAATTTTAAAAATCAAATTTCTTCTTCATAAATTTAGGGCAAAATGTATTCTGCTTTATGTCTTTGCTAAAAAAAAAAAATCTCAATACGTGTATATTAATTGGTTTACGTGAAAAGTAGCATATACAAATGGCGGTATATATACTGGAATTTTTTATACTAGTAATGGCGGGAATCGTTGACTTATAGTGGGTCTGCGGTGGGCATTTTGACACTGGGTGGGAACTAGCGGCCACTGTGACACAGTGACACCAATACAGTGATCAGTGCTAATAAAAAGCGCCGACACTGTACTAATGGCACTGGGCAGGAAGGGGTTAACATGTGGGGCTATCAGATGTTGTGCAGAGAGATACAAAGTAGTATGTCCATGTTGACAGAAGAGAGATCTGTGTCATTTGCACACAGATCTCTCCCCTCCTAGCCCTGCCGACGATCACTGAGTCCCAGCTGGTGGTTGACTTCCTTAGCAGCCAATAGGGGCACGGGCAGGGCAACACATGCGCCCCCTACCTAGAAATGCAAATCACGTGTATAAATCGGTGAGATCCCGGTCTCTGTGCTGAGAGCGTGGTATGGAGAGCACTCCCAGCACAAACACAAGAATACATATCTGTAGCACCCAGATTTCAAGCCCACTTCCCGGACTCCGCATATATGTGTTAATTTGTCATTGTGGGGCTTAAACTGGGATACTATAGAATCCTTGTGTAAACCATTCTATTCAATGTTATTCACTTTTCAGTTAGCAGCTGAAAGCAGACTTCCAACATTGCCACATGTAGGAACTCTTGAACAAAAGTCCTTTTTTGTTTTAGATAGAATAGGGAAGGGTTAAACCCTCTGCCAGGTTATTTTTTGCTGTCTGTGTACCATCGGTGAGATACTTCTTATAGGGGCACTGGACATAGCAAAGCCATGAGCAATGGCAGAGACCTGAGAAGAGGTGGTTCGGGGCCACTCTGTGCAATCCTATTGCACAAAGCAGGTAAGTAAATTGGAGGAATGTTTTAGGAATTACAGCTCTTAAGAGTAGCCATCCCCCCATTTTTCAAGGGACCAAAAGTAATTGAACAATTGAATCAAAAGCTGTTTTATGGCCAAGTGTGGGCTACTCCTTCATTATTTCTTCATCAATTAAGCAGGTAAAAGGTCTGGAGTTTATTCTAAGTGTGGTATTTGCATTTGGAATCTATTGCTGTGAACCTACATCATGCGTTCAAAGGAGCTGTCCATGCAAGTGAAACAAACCATTGTAAGGCTTCAAAAACTAAACAAATCCGTCAGAGAGATAGCAGCAACTATAGAAGTGGCCAAATAAACAGTTTGGTACATTCTGAGGAAAGAAGAAAGCACTGGTGAGCTCGGCAACATAAAAAAGGCATGGACGTCCACGGAAGACAACAGTGGTGGATGATCACAGGATCCTTTCTATGGTAAAGAAAAACCCATTCACAACATCCAGACAAGTGAAGGACACTCTCCAGGAGGTGGGCGTATCATTGTCAAAGTCTGCAACCAAGAGAAGACTTCACGAGAGCAAATACAGAGGTTCACTACAAGGTGCAAACCATTCATAAGCCTGAAGAATAGAAAAGCCAGATTAGACTTTGCCAAAAAACATAAAAAAGCCAGACCAGTTCTGGAAAAGCATTCTTTGGATGGATGAAGCTAAGATTAATCTGTACCAGAATGACAGGAAGAAAAAAGTGTGGAGAAGGCTTGGAACAGCTCATGATCCAAAGCACACAACGTTATCTGTAAAACATGGTGGAAGCAGTGTGGTGGCATGGGCATGCATGGCTTCCAGTGGCACTGGGTCATTGGTGTTTATTGATGATGTGACAGAAGACAGAAGCAGCCGGATGAATTCTGCAGTGTTTAGAGATATACGGTCAGCCCAGATTCAAGCAAATGCAGCAAAGATGATTGGATGGAGCTTCACAGTACAGATGGACAATGATCCAAAACACACTGCAAAAGCAACCCAGGAGCTTTTGAAGGAAAAGAAGTGGAATATTCTGTAATGGCCAAGTCAATCACCTGATCTCAACCCAATTGAGCATGCATTTCACTTGTTGAAGGCAAAACTAAAGGCAGAAAGACCCACAAACAAAGAAAAACTGAAGACAGCTGCAGTTAGAGCCTAGCAAAGCATCAGAAAGGCAGAAACCCAGTCTTTGGTAATGTCCATGGGTTCCAGACTTCAGGCAGTCATTGCCAGTAAAGGATTCTCAACAAAATATTACAAATGAACATTTTATTTATCATTATATTCATTTGTCCAATTACTTTTGGTCCCTTGAGAAAGGGGGGATGGCTACTCTTAATAGATGTAATTTCTAAACCCTTCCTCCAATTTGGATGTACATACCCTCAAATTAAACCTGAGAGTGTGCACTTTCAGCCCATATCCATTATATAACTATAGCTTGGTATTTGGTAAATACCTGAAAAAAACAAAATTTTTGCCTGTGTCCAAATATACATGGACCTAACTGTATATGTTACTGTTTGTAAACCATTTACTGTGCTGAGTGCACGCTCATTGTGTGCTCCCAGCACAG